TTTATATGTATGTGTGTATACATATACCTATCTGTTTATATGTATGTGTGTGTATACATATAACTATCTGTTTATATGTATGTGTGTGTATACATATAACCTATCTGTTTATATGTATGTGTGTGTATACATATAACCATCTGTTTATATGTATCTGTGTATACATATACTATCTGTTTATATGTATGTGTGTGTATACATATAACTATCTGTATATATGTATGTGTGTATATACATATAACTATCTGTATACGTGTATGTGTATACATATAACAAGAAATAAACACTAGGGCATTGAATGATATTTACAAAATAAAAAATGTTATTTTGTAGTGACAGAACCCAAAGCACTCGACTGTCTAGTAAACATTTCCCATACCTGTTTCAGAAAAGCGAGCTCACACTCGTCTACTCTTCCCATATCCTTGTGTCGGTGAAAGAAACTGGGACTTCCACGTTCGGCATACAAACGCCAGTCAAACAGCACAAGCGGACAAAGCCGCGTAAGGCCTTCTAGTGCCATCACCATGACGAAAAAGTAGATAAGATCGACCACACTCACAAACAGACAAATACTGTGAGCGGCGACTGAGTTGAAAGCTGGTCACCTTGGAGCGGTCCTTCTCCTAAACACGATGATCCAGATGGGCGATGTGTGGATCGTGGCATCAGCGCATGAGGTGCCCAGGAAAACGCTTTTAAGACTTAAACCAGACATTCACGTTCTGCGCGTCTTGCTTTCGCGCCATCGACTGGAGCCTTGATGCACGGTGCGCGTGCTCTCATGTCTGCTAGTCTGGTTGCTCCAGAATAAGCAGCAACCCCTGCAATCACGACTGCGGATTAGTAAGAGCCTAGATGCTTCTGGCCTTGCATGTTTCCACCAATAGCTGACGGTCGTGGAGAAACACAACGTCAGGAAAACAAGCTATACATGTGTGAATGTGTATTTTTAACGATCCAGCTACTCATGGGCTAAGATATACGTAAATACGTTCGTGACTCCAATTCACCTGCAACAATGCTGTTTTTAGCAAATTATTTTAAGTTTCTTTGAGTCTAGTTTCCCATCTTCTGTTGTGATATTATATATTTCCATTATGAATCCGTCCCTAAAACGAAATATTTCATGTTTTTCTAAGGCAGTGTATCTTTAGGTATCGTGACTTACCATTTCATACAGTTCTAAACCACTACATCGAGTCTCCAGTTTTCACACGACATAATTAAACACACCTGTTTCCTCCTACTTTTTATAACACTGTGTTATTTACATATTCACTCTCAAACACGATAAACAAAACAATAGCTAAATCACGAATTTCTTTAAAACTGTTTCATCTAACCAGTAAACACCTTAGTTATTTAATTCTTTCTTATTTATTTTCTTCTAGAAATATTGGTTTTTACATGATGTAGATTTCCAAAGTTATCCGACACCGAATAGGACTGAACATTATTCTATTAAAATAATAATAATAATTGGAAAAGCACCAGAGATAAACAAACCATAAGATAAAATATTGTAAGCACAAAAAGTAATACCATTTGAGAAAGTAAATTTACAAGAACTATCTTGGCGAGTTAAGCCTGAAAAGTTGAACAGTTTCACTATCTTTTCACAGAAATATTTTATAGTCCCTGTTTTGGATTTTAATATCAAAATTCAAAATGTTCATTCAGCTAAAACCCATCGATAGAAATGACTTCAGCTTTTCTTACACACTTTTATTCTGCTATTAACTATACTGGTTGTTTTTAGTTTTTTTAACTTTGGGACTGGAAATTTAATTACTATTATTGTTTTACTTTAGCTTGGTGAACATTTCTTGTCTATATGATATCTCGTTTCTCATGATCTTTAGTTTCGTATAATTGTTTTCATCATTGCGAATCCACGGAATACTACTAATGCACGACTATTTAAGAAGATCTAGATTAATTAAACCGATAAACAAAACTTCATGGCATTTACTACTGCGCGTGCGAAACCGCGTTAACTCTGACCTTTAAGTGTGTACCGTATTTTTCGGAATATATGACGCACCCTTATTTTGAAGACAAAGTTTGTTTTTTTTTGGGGGGGGGGGAAGCTACAGTCGCGTTTGAAAGATTTTTATTGAAC